CAATGACCGTATCCAAATCATGTCCACCAGCTGCAACCGAATCCAAAACCAATCCATCATCTGCATCCGAAATCAAATGATTCTCAATCCGTGCCACGTCAGCTGGAATCCCAAATGATGCAGTATGATCTGGAGTACGTGGAGTAATCTCCACCCAACGTGGAGTAGCATCACTCTCCACCTGCTGCGATATCCAAACGACCTGATCAACACTCTCCACCTGCCGAGAGTCAAAAGTAACATACCTGCTCAGAACAAAATCAAAAGCTCCCAAACGATAATCAACTGAGCCTCTGAACCCCAAACACGCAATCGGATCAAATCTCACATCCTCGATGTGACCAAATGCTGGATATCCAAATATCCGACGCAACCCAAAATCTGAAGCAGCTCCACCAGATCCAATAACTCCTAATGCAGCAGTCGGCGACCTGTGACTAAGATGACCCAAATATGTCGAAGCTCCAGAACCAATGCTCGACAACCAACGCCGATCCTCCTCCAGAAAGGAACGACCCATCGAAACTGTCATCTCATCTCGTCACCCCAAAATCTCTACACCAATGAAGTGTCTCCTATTGCCGTGAGCTCGGCACAAACGCAAGAAAGGACCCCTACCAAATCTAGAACAACGAGTTACCTTTCTGCCAATACACTTCTTCCAATTGTTGTTGACTTCTAGGACTTTACACCAACGGGAACTTGTCGCGACCCAATAATGCCTAGAACAATCATCAACTGCGGAAACTAAGATACAATTACCTCCCAATGATGCCTCCTTGGAAGGCCCTCAAATGCCTGACTGAACACCTCCTAAAAGACCCTTTGCTCGATGGATAGGAATGCCAAGCTCCACCACGGTCTTGCTCATCCCAATATGCTCACAGGACTTCAATCTGCAGGTCATAGCACTCCTCAACAACCAATGCACGGCATTACCAATCATATACCCCAGCACCAAACAATGCCACAGTCTAGCCGAATCAGATGAAGTCGTCATCTCCCTATCAATCATCGTGCTTCTAAGAAAATAGTACAAATTACTCCTTTTGACGCCCTTCATCACAATCATGGACCCAAATGTAACCTTCAAGCGTGCATCCGCCAAGGTCACCCTATAGCCTGCTGCCTCCAAAGCTCCAAGTGAAATGATGTTCTTCTTCAACTGAGGAACGAACCTCACTCCAACCAACTCCCGAATCACTCCGTCACTCATCCTGATCCAAACGGTACCGATACCACCAATAGAGCATTTGTGATCATTCCCCATGAGCACGAAATCCCCTCTTTCCAACTCCTGAAAGCTGGAGAACCAATTCCTTCTAGGGTAAATGTGGTATGTAGCCCCCGAATCCAACATCCACTCTGTATAGTAGACAACACAAACTGACGGCAGTGCAGATAATGAGTAGCCCAAAGAATCCGAATCTAAATCGTTGCCACTAGCCTTGATAACATTCGCCTCTGAAGCTTGAATAGCTTTTCCCGTATTCTTCCCGGCTCGATCAACTAACTTTAGGCATTCGGCTTTCTAATGTCCATCCTCTTTGCAAAAGGCACACTGATTCTTACGAACTCCAAGATGTGCCCCTCTAGACTGCGACCTCCCACTACGGTTTGGACCCTTTGCTCTTGCGACCAACGCCCTCGCTACCGGCTCAAACGAAGTCTCCTTATCCTTCTTTCGAAGCTGATAATTCACAAGTGCAGCGGTGACCTCACTATACGAAAGAGATGCCTTCCCATTAATAAGAGTAAAAACGAAGGTCTCATATTCCTCGTCGGGCAAGGAACTCAACAACAACAACGCCTTATCCTCATCTTCAATCACCACATCTACATTCGCCAAATCCGCAAGAAGCTTCGTGTAGTGGTTCATGTGATCACCAATGGAGGTTCCTTTCTTCAACTGGAAGCGGTAAAGCCTCCTCTTCAAATGCAAGCGATTCTCCACACTCTTGGTCAAATACTTGCTCTCAAGGATCTCCCAAATCTTCTTTGCAGAAGTCTCATTGATCACATCATACTTTAGATCTTGAGTGAGACAAGACCTAATCACACCACACGCCGTTCGATTCATCTTTTTCCAAACCTTCTCATCAATATTGTCCGGTTTTCCGTCCAACTCCAACGTATCTTCCAAATTTTACGCGTTGAGCGCATCCATGACTTCGCATCGCCAAAGTCCAAAATTGTTTGTGCCATTGAACTTTTCTACGTCAATCTTCATCGAGTGGATATTCAAGCTTTGGACGGTCTTCACGCCGGAAGTACTGCCCACAACTCCTTCTTTCTCGACCATAATCCTCAAAACACCACCAAACCAATGCGGAAACAAACGAGAAATAGATCCAAAACTGAAAAAGATGAGATTTTTACTAAAAAGACCCCACCTTTATCACCAAACGAAACCCTTGACGAACTTCCAAAGCGATCTACTCCTCCAAATAGCCCAAGCGTAACCTGGCTCTGATACCACTTGTTAAGACGGACGGCGACGCCGAGGAACCAAAACAAACGCCGATCAAAGAAGGCCAAAAACAATCAAAAATCAATGCACTAACACAAACACCAATTTTAACGTGGTTCGGCAATTGCCTACGTTCACGGGGCAAGAAGGGGGTGGGTTTCTACTAATAGAGAAGGAGAGTACAAATTGAGATTACAAATCGCTCAAACGAACCAACTAATCTCACCAACAAATCTCTCAACCTCTCAACCAATAACCCTAACCAATAGCTCAGAAAGATCTCTCTTTTCTGTGCTCCAAAAACCCCAAATATGCTCCTCCAAAACCCTCAAATCGTATTGGTATTTATACCAAAACAGAAATCCAAACAGACTACAAATAGGAACCTGAACTTTCCAAAAAACCCGTCGTAAGTCGACTTATCAGTCTGCATAAGTCGACTTGGCAGAGCGAAAAACGACAGCTGGAGAAGAGTTCATAAGTCGACTTGTCAGACCTGATAAGTCGACTTGCCAGAGCCTAAAATCAACAATCCACAGCAGATCGTAAGTCGACTTACGACACAACATAAGTCGACTTACCATAAGTCGACTTATGCCTGTGCATGAGTCGACTTATGACCAAAAATCTGCTTTTTCCAAGTTCTTCTCCACATGTTATACATTTGAGTAACCATATTCGTATCCTAACGGATACAGTTGCATATATTTCCTCGGATACCGATACTGTTTAGCATCACTAAATATCAGTCAAAGGCCTTTCCTCAAAAAAGAAAAAAATAATATAAAATGTGTGACATTTTTTAGTCCACCGCATAACATCCATGCTATTATTTAAAAAGCTTTCTTCCCGCTACAGTGATTTTGTCCTTCAACTCTCTTTTGTTGTTCCTGTATTCTGAGTTTCTCATCACGCTCTTTTTTGTCCTTTCTCTGTTCTCTCTTACTGATTTGGTAAAAATAACATACATGATACCCGTTGCAAGAAAACCTCATCTAAAATGGCAGCTTCATGTTAGGACCAATGTGATTACTTTTTGGTAATATCACTACTTTCAGCTTTAAAAAAGCTCAAGATGAATAGAAAACTAAGATTTTTTTGTTTTATAAGATCCTAGGTTTGCTTAATTTTATATTTAAATCCCTAAATTTTGATATCTTGAATTCATAACATAAAATTTTAAGTTATTTACAAACTAGACATTTTTTGTTTGAATATAGATCCTCAAATCACTAAAACTATTTGTTTCGTTAAATAGAAATAAAAAATATATGTCCTTCTATTCATTTTCTACTGCATGTGCATTGCCCGTGCAAAGCTGCTAGTCCTTATAAACTACCGAAAAAAATATATGTCCTCCGAAATGAGGACTCATCTCATTAGAAGTAGGGTTGAACACAGGGGGCGGGTCAGCCCACAAGCCTGCTCGCTTGTCTCGCTCTTGAGCTTGTCTCAACCTGGCTCGGCGTGGGACGAGGCTTGATTAGGCCTGCTATAGTAGCGGGCTGCGGGTTCGTAATGGGGTGACATCTAAAAACAAGCAGGCCGGGAGCTTGCTCGGCCCACCGAGCCTAGAGAGCGAGCTGGGCCTAAATGTAAGTGGGCTGGCCCATTGAACCCGGCCCATTGGCTCGCATAAATTTTTTCCCCTTCATTATTTCACCAGTTAATCCCTTGAACCTTTGCCTTTATATAATACACTATGGGAGCACATAAGAGGTGACAACTGAGTCCGAGAGGATGTGTACAATGGCCCCGCTATCCAAAGGTGTCTTTTAAGGACGTGCGGCTTTCTTTGATAACGTGCGGCTTTCTTTGAGGAGGAAGACAGAGAATGAAGAAGATTGAACTCTATTACGAGTTGACATATGTTCTCTATTTTTATTTGCTTAAAGTTTTTTGTAATTTATTCCTATATTTTTAAAACAGTGGAACAATTAGTTGTTGCCCGTGGAGTAGGACTTGTTCTAAACCATGTAAAATCTTTGCGTTTGCGATGTTTCCCTCTGTCATTCTTTACACATATACAATTTTACTTAATAAAATTATTTTTTATTTCTATAATAGTTGCATTGTTAGTTAATTACATATAAATTTTAAGTGTTAAATAATGCTTAAAAGCTATTTACAAAACTAAAAGCCATTTACCAAATCTAAAAAAATAAAAGAAATAAAACATGGTAGGTCGGACGGGCCGGTACGTGTCATGACTCGTTTTGCTTAATCTTGTCTTGCGAGCGGGCTATGCTGAGATCTAAACCCGCGAACAAGCGATACAATACGATACACTTGTCTGGCTGAGTGACCACCAGCCAGCTCGCCCTGTTGCCCACCCCTAATGAGAAGCTGGCTTTTCAGAGTTACTTACATAATATGGTGTGAGATCCTTGCTGTTGTACCTGGACAAAAACGTCATTTCCTCAAAGCAACAAATTCATGATCCTCATCCGTAAGGTCAAATTAGTAATTCTGGCACCATCAACCTCGCTGTAAACTGAGCCAACCGCATAATAACTATTATTAAAACTCACTCTCTCTTCCTTCTCTCTAACGGCTACGCCTTGTTCCTCCTCCATTTTTCATCTAAAGTCCTCAAAATAATTCGCTTATAAAATCCAAAAAAAAAAAAAAAAGAAAAAGAAAAAAAAAAGATGGATTTTAGCTCGTTCGTAACATCGTTAGCGACGTCCTTCGTGATCTTCATCGTGTTGATGCTTGTATTCACCTGGCTGTCGAGGAAACCGGGTAACGAGGTGATTTACTACCCGAACCGGATCGTTAGGGGTTTGGATCCGGTTGAGGGGAGGAGGAAGACCCGAAACCCGTTTACTTGGATCAAGGAGGCCGCCGGCGCCAGCGAGGCCGACGTCGTGGCCGCTGCCGGAGTCGACACTGCGGTGTACTTGCTGTTTCTTAGCTCCGGTATACGTCTTGGATTCCCTTTTTCTATTTTTGGCTAATTTTTTTACTGTATAATTGACGAAATTTGCCCTTGGTTTTCTTTTAAATTTCCCGAAATCTAGCGTTCTGGGCTGAATAAGGGAATTAAGGAACCTGAATTGTAGAATACTCAGTGCAAATTGTAGTTTTCTTTTAATTGTAGTTTTCTTAAAATTGGGCGCGAAGATCTTAGATCCCCTTTTGTAGTTTTCTATCTATTTACGGCTAATTTTGTGGGTTGGTACTTTTTTTAACGATAACAATATTTGTACTTTTTGTTTTGTTTAATTTAATTTAATTTAGTTTTTTTCCTGGATTATAATTCATAATTTAAAATTACTATTCGCAACAAGTTATCTCTAATGCTTGTGGCTCGTAGTTGTCTTTTGCAATTAATCGCCCTGATAGGGAAATTGTACGGGATTTCTATTTATATGGGATATAAGTTTAAGCTGGGTTTTTTTAACGTAGTTTTACAAATCTTGGTCCCTTGTTATTTACTTAATTTTTCTATAGTCTCTAAAACAAATCATACTATAAATTTGATACATCTTTTGACGGAATGAAGACGCAGGCAACTAAACATGCGCCTGCAAGACTCCAGTTTTACCTTGTTATGTTCTTTAGTTTTCCAAATTTTAGGATTTTAGGCTTTTAGCTAACTTAGATAAGCGAATTATTAAGCCTGAGTCGTAAAAGTTTGAGTTTTGATGGGTGTTCTTGTCATTTTTAGTTGTCTTATGCAATAAATTATCCTGATAGGAAAGTTTAGTCCTTATTATTTTTCTTTAAAATTTCCAAATTATTGGCTTCAACTGAGTTAAATTAAGGGACTTACTAAGCCTGGAGTGTAAAAGTTCGAACTTTGATATTCGTGCTTGTGTATTTGAGTTGGCTTCCGCATTAATTGTCCCGCGGAGTTCTTTTAAAGTAACTTCAGAATATGGATTATACTAAGAAAAATTTCCCAAGGACCCAAAATATGGGACCAATAAGAGGGACATGTCCCCTCCTATTGGACTATTGGATAATGAGTTGGCTATCATTGATGATGGTCAACACATTATCCAATAGGAAGGTGACATCACTTGTCCCCTCTATTGGTCTCATGTTTTGGGTCCCTGTAGCAAAGCTCTTATACTAATATGGATATTGCGTAATTTGGTGATACAGTTCTGGCGATATTAGTGTTATCGGGACTAATTCTGCTTCCGGTTCTTCTTCCATTGGCTGGAACTGATCATGGTCTGCTGCAAGCTGTGAAAAACGCCGACACATCTGGCAACTTCACCAGGATTGACAAGCTAGCAATGGGGAATATCCAAGTAAGAAACTTTTTCACATATCAGCTGATGCTAGATTACATAAACACATTCAACTGTAGTTTAATAACAAGATGGTACTAAATGACATAGCGTATTTCTTCAAGAATTAAGGAAAGACGCAGACATAAGAAGTTTTGGCTTCTGGTGTTTTTAGAACAGTAAGGAAAGAAGCGGACATAAGGAGACCCTAGTGTTATTTTCCTGAGCAAATAGAAACTCTCTGGCATCTGGAGAATAATCTCTCTCGTTTCTCATATTCTTGTTTTTTTCCTTTTTTCTTATGCATGTGGTTTAGTTGTGACATTCACTGTTTTATGGAGAGCATATAAGCATGCTTCAGACTTGAGAGCAACAGCAAAAACAGTCTCAGATGTAAAAGCAGAGGATTTTACTGTACTGGTTAGAGACATTCCCAGTCCTCCGAAAGGTGAAAGTAGGAAAGAGCAGGTCGACTCTTATTTCAGGGCACTCCATCCTGATACATTTTACAAGTCTATGGTGATTACAAACATGAAAGAGGTAGATTCTTGACTTCCAAGTTTTTTATTAATTGCATCGAGACACTATGGTGTAATTGCACGGGGACTCTAGAGTTTTTTCTTCTACGCAACTAATCCTGAACCTAACACGTGTAATCCTGAATAATTGTAAGTACATGGGTAATCCTCGAGTCTGTTTATTTTTTCCTTCTCAGTTCCTGCTCCAGGGTTACCCACGTAAGTACACCGTACCTCAGGTACCCGAATGTAATTATACTCCTTTTTTTTGTCAGATGCTTTTTCCCTTAGTTTATGTTACATCCTCATTTTCAAACCTTTTTCCCCCCCATCTTAGGCTGATAAAATCTGGGAAGAGGTGGAAGGCTACAAGAAGAAACTTGCTCGTGCAGAAGTTGTATTCGCAGAATCTAAAACTGCAAGCAAACCCGAAGGGACAAGACCCACCAACCGAACTGGCTTCCTTGGTCTTATCGGTGAAAAGGTGGACACAATTAACTATTGCAATGAGAAAATTGACGAATTGATTCTGAAATTGGAGACTGAACAAAAGAAGACCCTCAGAGAGAAACAGCAAAATGCTGCACTTATATTCTTTAGTAAAAGAGAAGCTGCAGTTTCAGCTGCACAAACTCTCCACAGCCAGCTGGTTGATACTTGGGTTGTAACTGAAGCTCCCGAGCCTCGTCAAGTACTATGGGCAAATTTATCAAAGAAATTCTATGAGAGGCAAATAAGGCAGTTTCTTGTTTATGGAATTGTCTTTCTTACTGTCGTCTTTTACATGATTCCCATTGCTTTCATATCTGCGATTACCACCCTTGACAACTTGAGGAAGGCAGCACCTTTTCTTAAGGTGATAGTGGATAGGCCAGCTATTAAGGCAATTTTGCAAGCTTATCTCCCTCAGCTTGCACTTATTCTATTCTTGGCTCTACTTCCAAAATTTCTTATGATGTTGTCAAAGGCAGAGGGGTTACCTTCAGAGAGCCAAGTACAAAGAGCAGCTTCTGGAAAATACTTTTACTTCATAATATTTAATGTTTTTCTTGGAGTTACGATCACTGGGACACTGTTTACCTCTTTGAAGAGCATTATTAAACATCCGAAAGGAATCGTGGACATGCTTGCAAAAGGCTTGCCGATAAATGCAACCTTCTTCCTCACATATGTTGCACTAAAGTAAGACTTTTCATCTATACCCATATGTTGCACTAAAGTAAGACTTTTCATCTATACCCTGCTTTATCAGTCCACTTTGATCTTCTTCAGTCTTTCATAAGCTTTGTTTGTCATAGTATATGTAAGAAGTATTTCAATCTACGTTATCCACTTATCTTTGAAGCATTAGGTTGATGCTTTGATTATCATAGGATGTATCTTATAATAAAGTTGATGATTTCTTTACTCCCGAGTTTTTAGTTTTAACACGCAACTTCAAAGAGTTTTACTGTTAAAGCATACTCCTAACTGAATACAGTATCATATTGTGTATTGAACTTAGGTTGATGGAGATACTAGTGAATTCCTTGGTAGAAGTATAACCTTTTATGACAGGTAAAAAGGAGAGTAGGCAGAACTATGAAAGAGAACATTCCATTATACTGTTCATGATATGCATAACATCTATAATCTGAGGGATCCATTTATGGTAGACTTGTCTATGATGGTTGCTAGCTTGTCTTTAAGAGCTAAGGATTAGGCAAACTGACTGTTGAAGTCACTGTTTAACAGTAACATGAATTCAATTGAAAAACAAAAAATTGGAGTATGATGTTGAGATCGAATATGATACAATGTTAATTATTACATTCCTATGCCTTCTGAACTGTGAAAATTAATGAACACATGTTTCCGTTTACACTTGTTCACAGATTCTTTGTCGGCTATGGACTTGAGCTCTCACGCTTGGTTCCTCTGATCATATTCCATATAAAGAAGAAGTATCTATGTAAAACAGAAGCTGAAGTGAAAGAGGCTTGGGCTCCTGGAGACTTGGGATTTGCGACTAGAGTTCCCAACGATATGCTTATCGTAACTATTGTGCTCTGCTACTCAGTGATAGCTCCCTTAATTATTCCCTTTGGAGCCATCTACTTTGGACTTGGATGGTTAATTGCTCGAAATCAGGTATGCTGAAATTTCTTTTTTTTCTCATAATAATACCTGCAAATTACTAAAATAAGTTCTTTAGCATTACCAATCAATAAACATGTAGGAAATATATATCCGTATTAAAAAGGAAGCACCTTACAGTGAACTAGCTTAAGAGGGGTAATTTCTTGTACTACTATCAAAATGAAGTTGATAAATAAAACAATGAATTTTATTTGTTGCTTGATATCATTTGCAAAATCCTACTACTACTTACTGACAAAAGTTCACAAATAAGTCTTGCCTCTTCGTTAACATGCCCAGACCATCAAGTTGAAGTTGATAAATGATCACAACAATGCTATATATTGCTTGACATTACTTGGAGAATTTAATCAAATATGCAATAGTGTGGTACTTACCTATGTGCAGTTAACTACTAAGAGTTAATGAAGAATGAAAATGCTACTATTATATGAAGAATGGAAATGCTACTACTGGTCACACTAATACAAGTTCACAGCTTCACATGCTATCTCTTCATTGAAATGCCTTGTCTTTAAAACTAATCTTAGGTGGAAATAAGTATGTGACCTCAGTAACACAAATCGACAGAACAAACATAAGTATTTGGAATGATAAAAAAAAAAAAGATAATGCTAATATTCTGTCGCATGTAATCATGCACAAGCATAATCACTACGATATCTTATTGAAATTATGGCAGGCACTGAAAGTTTATGTCCCTTCTTATGAGAGCTATGGTCGAATGTGGCCTCACATGCATGCAAGAATAATGGTAGCTCTGATCATATACCAAATCACGATGTTTGGCTACATCGGGTTGAAGGAATTCTACTATGCTTCATTAATTCTTCCCCTCATAGCAATGTCCTTCGTCTTTGCTTATATTTGCAAGAAACGCTTCTACCGAGCATTTGCCTACACTTCTCTTGAAGTAGTAAGCCGAGGTAATAAGGAAGTTCATAGTCTTGAATCTGTCTATACTTCATATATTCCTGATAGCTTGAGGACTCAGAAGCCTGAGGATCTTGAATCTTTCGAAGATGCGCAATCTCAAGCGTCAAAATCCACAACATTTTGATGTGACGAGGTAGCTCCAAGCTCAGAACCTGTATTTGTAATTAGTAGTTCTATTTTTAGGATTATCTTGCTGTTCTAATAGTTGTGTATCTATTATTAGACCAATTGTAGCATTGTCCTAGTGTTGATTGTTTGTATTGTTGAGGTTTCTATCCTTGGGTTTGAGTTTTTAGGTTTTATTTTTATTTTTATTTTTAATTAGCCCTTTCTTTCAGTGATTATTGTTTGTGTTGTGGGGATTATCTCATGTTGCAATTTTTTTTATAATGTTCCATTTTTCTATGTATGTGAGAGACGATGATTTTGATTGTTATGCTGCTTAATGTTGCTTTAGTTACCTTTTGCACTTTGTGCGTCAATCAGACATGTTCTGTTTGCTGTAAATTAAAATTAATAAACATACGTTGTGATCCTGACTTTCTTTCCATTATACCACGATATTAGCACATGAAATCGCAGCAATCTCCCTCTTCAAAGCATACATATCTCAGTCTTCATGCATGAGACTCCAAAATTAACTTTACATTAGAAAGATTTAGCAATGAGAAAGAACACAATCTCTCTTTTATACCCTTTTAAATGAAGCTATGTTTGTCAGGTACTTCTCTGTACCCATATTGGATACGTACCTGTTGATGATGGTTTAAATCATACAGTTAAAAGAGAAGGTGGGTAAGGATTGGGTTGATATGGAGGCCATTTGTTTTTTCGAATATCTGATTTGGAGTTGGACAGTTCGTCCTTGCACGCATAACAACTCGTAAGAGGACCGAGACTGGTTCTCTCGTTGTTCTTCTAACGATTAAGTCAGCTGAGAAATTGCTAACCCTTGTATTTAAAATAGTTTTTTTTATAGCCAAGCAAGAAGGGTGGTTTAGTCTTTTTGGTCGAGCCTAGCTGGCGGCTGAGTCGACATCTACTGTAGAGGTGTCGGTCATGGATCAACTGCGTGATGGGCGTTGTCATTTCACCATTAATGAGATGCGATGGGCAGCGCATGAAGCCGGCGTGGTCATAAATAGTGTAGGAGATGGAGATATGATGACGCCTGTCGGGCATTTATGTGACGCTGACGTGCTATTAGTGGGGGAGGTTTGAGATTGAAGTCATCCTTTGGCTTGTAGTGAGGGGTGTCGAGAAGTAACATCTTTCGAGTTGACCTTGCGAGGTGTCGAATAACTAGTCGAGTGGGCTCGTAGCGAGTTGTCTTTGACAAGAGGACCGACAAGTACCATCCTTCGAGTCGACCTAAAGAGATACCGACTTGGTGAGTCAGCTAAGTCAGGAGGATTCTTAGTGGTCCTGACCGTCAATTCAATTTGAGCGGTGCATGTAAGGGGACACCTGTCCATTGCTGGCAAATGGCTATAATTTGGCGATTGAAAACACCACAACATTTGGCCCCTTTCGCTTAGAGTCGGCTTGGGCCGGGTCCAAGTGAAATGAAAATAGCTCTGACGGATGTGGATGTGCATTAAATGAGGGAATTGAAAAGTCTTTTTAAATTTCATGTGGCTGACGTCACCACACAATCTTTTTGTTTTTCACAGCTCCGTTTTTCGTGCCGAATTATGGGTTATTCAAGGTTAGTGGACTGCGTCTCGATCATTGAGATGCCGTTTCGGATTTTGAGAATTAATCTTAGCCGCTAGCCAAAGTTTGGTCCGGCCGTTCAGATTTTGGCAACTGCGGATTCAGCTGACTATATATAATGCAAGGGCTAGGAAAATGGCGATTATTGTATTTTGAAATTCCCTTCTGAGAACTAGAGATCCTTCCCACCCATCTTTTTCCAAAGATTATTTCTTCCTTCTATGATGGCATCATATCCCGTAGATCGACAAGCTCTTCTGGCGAAGTTCATGTTATAGTGAAACATGAAAGAGCTGTAACAAAAAGGGATAGAGATATTTTAGCAACGGTTAATGAAAAATCATTTATATGATAGAAAACGTTATAAATCGTGTTAAGTGTATATATATTGAGCTTGAATACAATCATACAATATATGTAGGTAAACTAAACATATACCTAGGTAGAACCATACAAAGGAACTTGAATCTTTAACGCTAGATTGACTTGTGAACTTGAAATACCTGAAAAGAAACTAGAAACACAAAAACACTAGAGAGATTATTAGTAATGAATTGTTTGCTAAATCATCATCAAAACTATAGGGTCAACAATCTCCCCCTTTTTGATGATGGCAAACAATGAGCATAAACTGATAATTCCACATGGTTCCAAACATGGACAAGGCAAGAATAAAGGACCATTTACATGATCTATATATAAACCAATGCATAGCATATATCTATATATGTGGAATACATGTGGATTTTTCTCCCCCTTTGACAACATCAAAAAGGAAGAGAAAAAGAAAAGATAGGAGCAATGCTCCCCCTGTTTATGAGCACATATACAGAAAATGACAATAGCTCCCCCTGTCAAAATAGAGTAGATGGCATAAGAAATGCAAAGAAACTAAGCAAAACTGTTTTCCACATACCAGAAAATAAATATAACTTAAGCAATCATAGAAGAAATGAACCAACCACAGTAAATTTCAAAATAAAAAATCATAAGTGTGCATGAAAATACTGAACTTAAATAATACAGAAGACTCATGATAAGCAACTTATTTATAGCCTCCCAATACCTTAAATAAAAGCCCAAACCAAAAGACCAAAAACCCCTCCAACGGATACAAAAAACTAGCCGTTATGGGCATTCTGGATGCTGGTCGGTCGACCGACCATTTTTTCGGTCGACCGCTCGCACTGTACAAACCTGAAAAAGCTCCAGAGACATTTCCGGTCGACCGGTCCGGTCGACCGGAGTACTGTAGCAGTGCGCAGCTATTTTGTAAAATTAATTTAAAATAGTAAATGAACTCCAAAAATTATGAAATTTTGTGGGATTGTTCTAGACATGTATAATAACATGTCAGAGAAAGAATTTCGGAAACAACATTTCCCAGTTGTGAGAAATAAATATTTGAACACAAAAATACAGTTTCTGAAAATCTGCTGTGATACACGATTTTGTAAAATCAATTAGGCATAGTAAATCAACTCCAAAAATAGTAAAAACTGGAGGAAAGTTTATAAACATGTAGATAAACATGTCAGAGAAAGAATATTTCAAATATCACTTCCCATTTGTAAAAACTCATCAGTTTTGTAAAACATGCACGAACATGTGCACGAACGAAAACGTGAATTTGTAAATTCCTTTAAACATAACAAATCAATTTTAAACTTGATAAAACTTTGAGAAATGTTTGCAAATGATATTTTGAGCATGTTACAAAAAGAATTTTCCAATTTTCATTTCCCAATTGTGAAATCTCATTATTTTGCAAAAGTGTTCAAAACATGAAAAAAGTGATATACATGAAGTTTGATGTTTTGACATAAACAATGTTTTGAAACTTTGTGAAATGTTTTTATAGACTTAATAAAACATGTATAAACTGATATTGAAGTCTACAAACTAAGAATACAATATTTTCACAAATACAATAGAAAATGAAACCTATGAGTATGTATATGAAAATATATTTGTTTCCTTGACTTGGTACACTTTGCGGATGAAGCTTGAACTTGATCTTTAACTTGAATTGTATGTTGCTTCACTCCACAATTCCGCCAACCTCCATTTGATATCGTCGTTATGGCGCAATCCATCCATCCTCCAACTACGTTGTTTGTCTATAATAAATAAGAAAACACAAATACTAGACAAATAACATTAGTGGTAAATTGTTTGTTAAACATCATCAAAATAAGAAGGCCAACAATCTCCCCCTTTTTGATGATGACAAACAATTTACAAAAAGAAATATATGCATGAAGGAAATGAATATACAATGTATAATTCACATGCATATAAACAAGAACGAATATACTCACAATATTTCTCCCCCTTTGACAACATCAAAAAAAGGACAAAAGAATTAAGAGAGCGAAAGCTCCCCCTATCAATAAGCATAGGTGAGTATGAAACAAGAAATACTTAGGGATTGCTCCCCCTATCAAAATGCCATATGGAATATATGAAATGAAGATCATGGCATACATATGTGAGTAAGCATAAATGCTAAACACAACTCACATGCAAAAGATAATGAGAACATTTATAAATATATCAAAGTGAAAGATAGTGTCTCATATCTAAGAACATAAAAACATTTGTAAAGGTAGATTTATGAAATCAAAAGAAGAGAAACATGAGAATCATGCAAAAAGAGTTTTCGAATAAAAACAAATCACTCAAATGAAATCATAAATCAAGATTTGAGTCCAAAGGCAATGTTTGATCAACGAAGAAAACTTTCTTTGTATAACTTGATCAAACCACTCATTGAATACATTATAAGACACGAATAGATGATCCATAAGCACAAACACATAAATATCATCATATAAGTGAAATATAATGAATTCAAAGCAATCAATCAAAACAAAAATCTTTAACAAAAGAATTTCAAGAGAGGCAACAATATATCAAGCTCTTAAGCTTGTTCCAACCCATATAATCATTCTAGCATCCGGTAAACACGATTTGGGAATAAACACCCAATAAATCCGGAGGGTTATATAAATGCAAACCTCTCATTAAAATCAAAATTAATTACTCATGAAAACAAAAAGATTTGATCAATGAAAATTTGTTTTCATAAAAAGATTCAAAGTATAATTTTCAAAACCAAGAAAAAAGAAAAAGAAAACATTAAAATTCTTGGTTTAAAATCAAAATTATTTTGGTACCCAAGTAATATTGGTACCAAAAGGTTTAGGGATATGACCCCTATCATTAAAGCTCAAAGCCCTAGGGTTATGAACCCTCTTGGGCATATGTGGTGCACGGGATCGGTCATAGCAATAATCACTCAAATGACCATTCCGATTGCAATATGTACAATGGAAAGGAAGCATTTGCTTATGTTGACCATTAAAAGGTGCACGTGGAACATTTGCAAATAAAGATGGTCTTTTAAGATTATTTTACAAATGAGAAACATTTTGAAACAATCCAAATCTACCACAAACATTACATTTGTAAACATGTGGTCTACTAGAAACATTTGGCAAATGAGACTTATTTTTCAAATCAAAACAATATTTGGCCAAATGACCAAAACGACCACAAATATCACATTTAAACACATGAGCATGCTTATGATGAACATGATGAGTATGTGCATGTGTATGTGATGAAGAAACTTGATGAGATGCACAATGAGCTTTAGTATTCTTATATTTATGTGCATCATAGCAAAATTTAGATAAGTGGCCTTTACGACCACAA